TGTGGGAGTCCCCTAAATATGAAATCTCCCTTATCTCATATTCCCATAATCCCAAGGCTGTGGTAGTTTTTCTCTTGACCCTGGGTATCTCCTGAATCTATATTTACAAGTTCTTCTTTTATTGTCTGTATATTCATAATGATTAATATAATCTGGTTGCAATATTATACTTTACCAAAAGGCACCACTAGGGCCTGAGTATCAACAATGATATTATTCTTTGTCTTAAAATCCTAATTTCAAAACTCCAAATCAATTCTCAGCATTTCTTGACTACCAAGCTGTGTAACTTGGGGAAAGTTACTTAACAACTCTGAGCCTTTTTTTTTTTCAACTATAAAATGGGGACAAATAGTACCTAAAACACAAGATTGTTCTGATGAATAAGTAAGATAAAGATTGCAGAACTGGTAGTATAATACCTAATACATTGCCGACTCACAGACCATAAAGTACCCTACCCTTAAACAACAACAACAAAAAAACCAATTTACTTAAACAAAGGATAAATAGAATTAGTATTTTAACTAGTAACTCCCCCCAAAAAATAATTTAAGTAACCACTTTTTAAAAATGTTTTTAATCTGTTAAATACAGCATTCTGATGTTTTATTGATAATGAAGTGTTAATTCTGTACAATTACATAACAAAGCATAAAGTACTTTACAGATTATAAAGTGCTAAACAAATGCTAAAAATGATAAAATCATGACCAATAAAAGTTAAAACCATAGAAAATTATTCGAAAGGGAAAACCCATGGTATTGATTTACTTATTTGTGTTTTTTATGTTTACTTAAGTCTCATATCTGTGAAAATATCACAAAGTATGTATATCAGTCTAAGATTTCAGATTCACATGTACTTAATTATAATTTTTTTATTAATTTTTGTTACAGATGTTTCTCCTTTTCCCCCCACTGATTCCCCCTCCCCCTCCCTCACCGCCCTGTCCCCAGCTTTGTTGTCCATGTCCATTTTCATGCATACATGCATATAAGTTCTGTGGTTTATCTCTCCCCCACCACTCCCTCTTTTGGGGATTGTCAGTCTGTACCCCACTTCCACGTCTCTGGGACTACCCCATTCCTCAGACTGTTATGTTCATTATATTTCACAAATAAGTGAGATCATATGATGCTTGTCTTTCTCTGCTTGGCTTGTTTCACTTAGGATAATACTTTCCAGGTCCCTCTATGTTGCCTCAAAGGATAAGAGATCTTTCTTTCTTACAGCTGCATAGTACTCCATTGTATATATGTATCACAGCTTTTTTATCCATTCATCTACTGATGGACACTTGGGCTGTGTCCAGATCTTAGCTATTGTAAATAGTGCTGCTACAAACATGGGGGTACATATATTCTTTCTGATTGGTGTTTCAGGCTTCTCAGGGTATATTCCTAGAAGTGGAATCACTGGGTCAAACTTAATTATAAATTAAAATAAGTTCACTTTTATAACTTTGCCCAAAATGTAATTTTAAATTATTTTACTAAATACCAGAACAACCTAACTTAGAAAGACACAGTTGAGTATTTGTTCAACGAAAAAAATATAGTTTTCTTTAGCATTGCCTTGACATGTCTTTTCATATTATATAGTTTTTAATGTATCTTATCTTATTTGGGTGAATTAACTGTTTCTTTGAAGGTTAGTAACTCATGAATCCTGTGGAATAAATTGTAGGTTTCATGGTGTGAATATATTTACAAAAACTATGTTAATGATACTTTGTATTGTACCGTGCATTATTTTATGTACAACAGAACAAAGAAGCTAAGTTGAAAATGTAATTTTGGAATCATAAGGTAAACATTAAGTGATAATGAAACATTTATTAAAAAGAAAATTCTCTTCTCAAACCAATAATAAAAGCTCAAAACTTACCTTTATTTCCACTTTAATATATATTTTTTTACATTTCAGAATTACACTACTGAGAAAGCATAAAGGAATCATCTTGGTCTGTATCCTTAATTTGAGTGGGCTTGACCTTTTTCTTTTTTAATTAGATCTAAGTAAGACAAAATGTCTTCTTTTATGTGTAAAGACAGAATCATAGAAGTTAGCTTTTGAGTCTATTTGTATTTGACCTTTCCTCTGTAACTAACAAGACAAAGTCTTGCCACTGATGATATAACTGCACATAAATCACCCATTTCATAGATGTCATGAGACTGGCCAGATGAAAATAACTTTGGAGAGGATATTGTCTTAAAACTGAAGAAACTTGGATTTAGATCCCCACTTTATCATTAATTCACTGTGATATATGAACCTGGTTCCTTCTTTCTTAACTTCATCTTTAAAATAAAAGCTTATACTAAATCATCACTCATATCCCCTTCAGCTCTGATATACTATTATTATTTAGCCAATTTGTCGTGAAATTTAACAATGTTGCTGTAGGGGTATTCTTTTTATTTTAATCAGGCTAAAGTTGCTTGACCTGAAAAGGAAAGATAAGTGCAGTCTAGCTCAGGAAATTTCACCACCGGGTGTATTATTTCAAAATAAGTGATGATTGTCTCCTAAAGCTTATTAGGTTGAAGCAGACAGGAAGTAAAGAACATACTAAAAGGTGAGCTTGTGCAAAGCAGAAACATTTATGGGTTTTTAGAAAGCTGAAAATATTTGCTTTTTACTTACTGAAATCCTGTTATTCTTTTTGTTTTTTCCTTTTTATTGAATTTATTGGGATTTCACTAGTTAACAAAATTATACAGATTTCATTGCAGAATTATTTGCAATAGCCAAGATTTGGAAGCAGCCCAAGTGCCCATCAGTAGATGAGTGGATAAAAAAGCCATGGTACATATACACAATGGAATACTACTCAGCAATAAAAAAAGAAGAAAATCTTACCCTTTATGACAGCATGGATGGACCTGGAGAACATTATGCTAAGTGAAATAAGACAGCCAGAGACAAAAACAAATACCATATGATTTCATTCATATGTAGAATCTAATGAACAAAATGAACAAATAAAATAGAGACAGACTCATATATGGAAATCCTGCTACTCTTAATAGATTCAGCCCAAACTCTCCTTGTCCTGGAAGACTTGCCTGACTTTCATCCTGAAATTTTACTCCTTATCCCAGTCCTTCAGGATCTCTGATTTCCTCTGTGAAATGTTGTAGCATATATATGTGTTGTCTTATATTTGAGACAATTGCATCTTTTCTGCTTATTTTGATTCTAAAAAGGTGCTGGGAGGTGACACCTTTTCATTTGCCCTCAGCCCTCTCCCATAGTTTTTTCCACATTTTCTCCTCTCAGTTGTATTTGATTTACTGGTCTGCTGTTAGCAGTTATTCAACAGATGTTTGCTGAATGGAGCTAAGACTGTGTTAGAGGGAAGAACATCACAATAAACTCTAGGCACACCAAAAACAAATAGGAAAAAATTATTTAAATAAACAAAGCATAACTTGAATATTATGCCAGAACATGAAGTACAGAACAAAAAGACTAAACAAGGGTGATATATTTTAGTCTACTGTCAACATAGCTGACCTAATGCAAATTATGATTAAATTAGGTTTTTCCCCCTTATATTTTACCCCACTTGCTCAGAACTCTTCTCACCATAACTAGCCTAGTATAAAATTACTAAAGATTGCTTTGGCAGTTCAATTTTATTATCCTGAGATCTCTTCAGTTTTTCTTTATATCCTGCTCCCACCATCTACTCCCATCTTCCCAATTCTAATAAACTCATTCACACCAAGGTTTTCAAGTAAGTGTATTTCTAGGAGCAACAGGATTTGAAAATCAAGACATCAGGAAGAAGGGAACACTTACCTGCAAATGACTGATGTTTCATGTATTAGTGAAGGAAGCACTTTGAAGCAGAGAGCCTTACAGGTTCTCTCTATAATATACCACAAAGGTATGTCCTGACATGAGGCTGGACCTGCACTAACATGCTTCCTTATTCCATGGCCTATTTGAACAACTCTCTTGCTCTAATATAGAAATACTACTCGAGTCTTGAGGATTGCCTTCAGCTGCCTTCTGTTCATCCTCTAGTAGTGCTGTTGGTGGTAGTGGCGGGGGGGTGTTAGGTGCCTAATACAGTGTGGCAATTGGCTCTGGGCTCCGAGGCTTCTTGGAACAGCACCTTCAAGAGGCTGTGTCTATGGGTTTAGGCTACAGGAAACCAACTTCTTTTCACTCAATCCTCCCTAACCACTGAGAGGAAATGGGAGCTTACCTGCACTTCCTTGTCACAAGGACTCTGAGGGGAACGCAGAGTGGGTGAGCAGGAAGTGGGAGGTGAGTTTAGTATCTCCAAATTCCTCTTTAAAAGTAGGGTATTTATTTCAGTGTCAGGAGTTCGGAGGTTTGTACATACAAGAATACTCTAGGCAGAGGTCTACCACATCTTGGCTTCTTGTATTGGGAATTACCTAAGGCACATGCTTAACTAAGGAAATGTCCACTTTGGTACTTAAATACAACAACTGAAGAACAGTGAGAAAGGATCACAGTTTAGATTGCAGTGGTCCCCTAACTATGGCAGGAGCCAGAGGGCACCTAGCTTAAACAAAGGGCTCCATAAAGAAATAGGCTGTGCATTATCACACTCAATGCTGAGTGCAACCACAGGATTAGAAGACAATGCACTGTAGCCCTATAAATAGAAAATGCCAGGCAAGAGGTTCTTATGCTAAGTTTGAAGCTTTTCAGGCTCAATGTACAGCCCATAGTGTAGCCCTGTACCCTGCATCATTAATGAGAGGAAGAGAGAGAAAGAGAGAGAGAGAGCGAGCGAGCGCGAGAACTAGAGCAAGCGAGAGCGAGCTACCCCTTGGAAAACGGAAATGCTCAGTGTTCAGAGTGGCTTGCATATTTCACTCTGACATCTCACTGCCATGTTTTCCAACATGGTTAGTTAATGCTGAGAATTTTTTTTCCCTATTGCTTTCTTAGTTTTTCTTTTGGCTTTCGTTTTGTTTTGTTTTCTTTTACTCTTTCCTCACTTCCTCTTTCTCTCCTTCCTCCCTCCTTTCTTTCGTGTTCCTTTCCTTTTTCCTTTCTTCTCTCTCTGTCTCTCTGTCTCTGTCTCTCTCTCTCTCTTTCTGGTAGTGAAGCGGGATTAGATTGGTGGTGCTCAGAACAGGGAGCCGGAATTGATGCACAGATCAGTAGCATCCTTTTTGCAGTGGCTGTCTCATGAATTCTTTGGAGACCTAAGGAGAAAACAGAAAGGAACTAAAACGGTAGGTTCCAGTTTTTTAATGCATAATTAACACTTATCTGTGCCTTTCACTCTTGATATCCAGAATTTTTTTTTTCACACCAGGTTCTGGGTAACTAGTCAAATTGAAGGGTGGTATAAATATAATAAACCAGAACTATCCGGGTATGTCATTTTCTTGATATTTTCACAAACAAAAATAATTATACTGTTGACTGCTTGAGGTGAGAGAAGAGAGGTAACTTTGAACTTGGATAAATGTAAGTTTGATATGGAGAGATTTTTTCATAATGTTTCACTCAGTTGATAATATATAAAATAGTCCTGTGAACATCTGTAATTTAACCAACTCAATTAAGTTGAGCTACTTGCATAAATATGCAGGATGTATTCAATATATGCTTTGCTATAATTCTTTAAAGAAAATATTTTTATTTGTTGGGTGATTAAAATGGTTAAATTTATGTTGTGTTAGTTTCAAAAGGAGCTCTGATGAAAAATAAGAGAACTGTAATGTCTCAGGACCTTTACCAACGTGAATGCATGATCCTAAGAGCTTGTATAAGTTACATATTTGTATTGTAAAAGTAAATTATAATCAATGTTAGCTATATAGATTCTGCCTTCAAATAAAAAAATCCAGAAAAAACAACAACAAACACTTATAATAAGAGAGAGAGGGGAAATAAGAAAAACAATAATCACAGTTGTTCTGTTCCTCATAGATAAACTATATCAGAATAAATAATTAGTACATTAAAATTCAACAATGAGTAAAATGATATTGGATTAAATTTACATTTTTAATACTTATAATCAATAATGTATTTCTTTAAAAATGTAAGTAAAAGTTTTTTTGGCTTGCATGTTCTTTCTCTTTTTGCTCAAAGAGAAAATATTAAGGGGCATGCCTTCTACTTTTAAACCAAACGATGAGGCTATAAACTACATGTAACTACTAAGAGCAGCATTCATAGATTATAAGAAAGGAAAAGATCGATTTCCACTGTGCGGCTTGATCAAGGATTAAATCTCAAATCACTTTCTTCCTCCTTTCTCTGCTGTCAATAGGGGTGTGTATGAACTTCATTTTATACTGTTCTAATCTTCAGAGGGGAGAAATGTGATAATTTTATTCAATTAGGAGGGCTACTATTTTTAAAAGAGCTTTGATCATTTAGCAAGTAGTATTTCTTTCCTGAAACTACTGTAAAACTCAAGTTTGGTGACAAAGGCATCAGTCTTACAGATAATATTCAATCTTTCTCAAAGAAGGAGTTCACCAGCCATAATAGCAAATATTTGGATCACATAAAAGCCATTCTCCAAGATGTTTGTATCAGAGGGAGGATATTTTTTTTAATTACAGGAAATGTTATTTGCACTTGTGAACACATGCACTGCTTGACTTTGCTAAATGTTTGCAGTAATATTTCTGTGAGACAGAAATCATGTAGTGTGTTTATTCTTTTGGGGCCAGTGTAATATGGCCTGATTATTGGAAAGGCGAATAAACACAAATTTAAATTGACCCCTTCAAAAACATCACTGAATTTCCACCTAGAGGCCCTTAGGAATGAATGAACTCAATTATCACCCTTTGCACGAGGTAACTGAAATGCTTTTTGCCTTACTGTCATAAACACTTTTGGCGCCAATCAGATGCACTGAACCAGCAAGTGAATTTAACTCCTTCTTCTGACCGCTACCTATTTCTGTGAAGAGGGACCACAGATAGTCCTGTTTCCCTTGCCCGTTAAAGTGACCTCTCAGAAGTGTTCTTTTGTGCCATAGGTCTCAAGAATCAGTCTCCAGACTACAAATCAGAGAATAGAAAATAATCACAAAAAGATTCAAATACTGTCACTCACAGGAGCAATGGCAAAAAGAGTTTTAGATGCTTTTATGCTTTCAGAAGTGACAGAGATTGACAATTTTCATTTTACAGTTGGAAAAACTGAGGCTCAGAGAGTTGTAGTGACTGAGCCAAGTACCTCTGTGAATCTGTGGCAGAGAAAAAGCTAGAATTTAGGTCTCTTGATGCCTCATCCAGTGATTCTTTCACTTCTTATTGTCTAAAAATGCTTGAGGTTTAAGAGAGACATGCTTTATTCATTGGGAAAAGTTAAAAGAGTCATTTTGAAATCACTCAAGAACCTTTCGATAACAGGGGCACACTTAAGGCTGTTCCTAAGTGCCCTGATAATGTAGCAAACCTCGATTTGGGGTTTTTAACCAATGTTTTCTTGCAAGAATAGGAGAGAATTTTCCCTACTGCGCCCACAGAAAAAAATCCAAAAATGCAAATCGATACACACGAAGTGTAATACAACAGTAATACAGACATGGCCAGATAATGGATGCTTAGGTGCTATGTTAAATGCCAAGGCAACAGATTGGCCAAGCTATACAACAAGATATAGTATTCAGTAGGTCCTGAGGTGTAGGAGTTTTGAGACTTCGAAAGGCAGTCAAGATTACAGGGTATGTGCCTAGCAAAAACAGGGATATGAAGCTTAGGATAAAGTGTGAGGAAGCATAATATTATACTAATTGGTGGTATGTGAATCCCCAAGAGGATGCAGCAGTTGGAGGCTTGGCTATTGTTAATGTTTATATGACAGGGTGATAATCTGAAATTAGAAAATTAAAGTGAGTTCTCTTAGCATAATACTCTCCAGGTCCCTCCGTGCCATCTCAAAGGGTGAGAGGTCTTTCTTGCTGCTGCATAGTATTCGACTGTGTAAATATACCACAGCTTTTTATCCACTCATCATGGTGAAGTGGGATGGGGGTGGAGTGGGGGTAGGGGTTCAATGGGGAAAAATGGGGGACATCTGTAATACTTTCAACAATAAAGATGAATTTTAAAAAATTAAAGTGAGTTATTTTGGTATAAACAATTGGGAGTGCTGAGTGTGCTTCACAGACATCATTTTCATTTGCAGCAATGGCTACATTAGCATCAGCCAGGAATTAAGATGCAGAGTTCCTGAGAAATAATCAAAAGTGCAGGATATTAACCAAAATCAAGTCTGTATAGTCTCTGGAGACTTGGGTTAGGGCCAGAAATTTCACTGACTCTGATTATCTAGTGAGGAAACCGAAGTTTAAACTATTGAGCATAATCAGTCTGTCTGTCACATAGAAACATGCCTTGTGCCCAGAGCATGAGCTAAAGCTGCCCATTCAGGCTCAGTTGTATCTCAAACAGTATAATTACTATCTCACTAAGTATCTAAAATATACGCAAATGTCTGCCGCCAAGTATAAAGCCCTCAACTCCTTCCTTACTTCTTCGCAATATATTTGTTTCTTCTAGAACACATTTGCTCAGTCTCACACTATTTATGGCAGACAATGGCGAGGCTTTCTCCACATTCTCAGCAACAGAAGAAAGGCCTTAATATTGTTATAATTACAGTTACTTAGCTAAAACTCTTTTCGGCTTTACTTGGTAGATAAGATTTAGGAATATAAGTTAAGAAACATATTACCAGATATTTGTATATGCTGATTACTTATTTTTATGTGAAAAAGTAATTATTATAAATTATTTATAAGGAAACAGTAATGATAATTATTTAAATTTGGGAATATTTAATATTTTTAAGTGACACAAGTTAACCTAGGAATTGATTCTTTAAAAATGTTTAAACTTTGTGGCTACTTTATTTTGATTTTTAAAATTTAAAACTTATTTATTCCTAGACGTGGCATCACTGGGTCAAATGGCAGTTCAACTTTTAAGTTTTTGAGGTAACACCATATTGTTTTCCATAGTGGCTGCACCAGTCTGCATTCCCACCAGCAGTGTACTAGAGTCCCCTTTTCTCCTGGAGAGTATTATGCTAAGTGAAATAAGCCAATCAGAGAAAGACAAATACCATATAATATCACTTATTTGTGGAATATAATCAACAAAATAAGCTAATGAACAGAATAGACCCAGAAACATAGAAAGGAGTACGGTTTAGACTGACAAACCTCAGAGGAAGGAGGTAGAGGGGATGGATGAGATAAACCAAAGAACTTATATGTATATATGCATAACCAGTGGACATAGACAACAGTGCTTGGGGGGGGATAGGAAGGAGGGTGTCTAGGGGGGCAAAAAGGATAAACATCTGTAACAAAAATAAATTAATTAATTTGAAAAAATTGTTTATTTGCTTTACCTTCAATTTTATTTTGTGTCAGTTTCAGATGTACAGCATAGTGGTTAGACAATTATGTACTTTACAAAGTCTTCCCTCACCCCCAATATTTCCAGTGCTTACTCTATTTTGAAGTGTCAGACCAAATGTTGTGCTGAAAAGTGAATGACATGTAGAAGATTTGTTATTTATATAATGTGGGTTTTTTTTTTCTAAAGCCATTTTATTTCAAAACTGCAAAAGGAAATGTTTTCTTGGTTTTTATGATTAATGTCACATCAACAGATACAATAAAGGCACTCTGATTAGAGGCAACCAAAGTAGTAAAACAGTGGCTCTAAATTACAGAAACAATGTGTATCCTAAATTAACTACAAAAAGTTGAAGAGCTCTCTCTCTCATCCCAAGAAAATTAAAGTTGTTGAAACTAATATACATTTGCCAACGTGACTTATATTGTGCATCTGAAAGAATCAAGGATATATACTAGATATATTTGTAAAGAATCTAAAGCAACCTGGCGGGTGTGGCTCAGTGGTTGAGTGTTGACCCATGCACCAGGAGGTCACCAGTTCGATTCTCAGTCAGGGCACATGCCCAGGTTGTGGGCTCAATCCCCAGTTGGGGGCGTGCAGGAGGCAGCCAATCAATGTTCTCTCTCGTCAATGTTTCTATCTCTCTCTCCTCTCTCTCCCTTCCTCTCTCTCTAAAATCAATAAAGAAAAAAAATTAATGAAAAAGAATCTAAAGCAAAACACTAGTGTTGTCTTTAAACACAATGATACAACAAAGCTGGGTATGTTTTATAAATAATTCTATTAGAATTGCTCTAAGATATAAAGCTGTGTTTATATATGCCTCTCAA